TTTTTAAAAAAAAGATGTTGAGACTTTGGAAAAAGTTCAGAGATGAGCAACAAAGATGATTAGGGGACTGGAGGCTAAAACATATGAAGAACGGTTGCAGGAACTGGGTAGGTCTAGTTTAATGAAAGGAAGGACCAGGGGAGACATGATAGCAGTCTTTCAATATCTCAGGGGTTGCCACAAAGAAGAGGGAGTCAAACTATTCTCCAAGGCACCAGAAGGCAGGGCAAGGAGCAATGGGTGGAAACTAATCAAGGAGAGAAGCAAGAACTAAGGAGAAATTTCCTGATAGTTAGAACAATTAATCAATGGAATAATTTGCCTCCAGAAGTTGTGAATGCTCCAACACTGGAAGTTTTCAAGGGGATGTTGGATAACCATCTGTCTGAAGTGGTGTAGGGTTTCCTGCCTAAGCAGGGGGTTGGACTAGAAGAGCTTCGAGGTCTCTTCCAAGACTGGCATTGTTCTTTTTCAATCAACGACAACCAATTACGTAAGGAGTTTTGCCAGGGAAGGACCTGCAGAGTCTTTATCTATCCCCTAACATTCACAAAATCTCTAAATTCTTATTAACTGAATTCTTGGCATAGAGTGTTAAATTTTGGTATGTTTTTAATTTTCTGAGCTACTTTGAAAGCTGGTTTCGAGCAGGACAGTGGGGAGTAAATCAAATAAACCATACCTCATTCTGAGCACAGTCAAAGTTCATAAGATTTCTTATAATGCAACCACATTTTCCGAGTGCACCAGGCTCTCGCATTTTATTGGGTGCTTCAACACTGCAACATGCCCGAGAGGTGTCTATATTACAACAGAGCTATCAATCATTATGATAAAATAGATTAAAAAACGCTGGGAAATTATCCAACCACTCAATCGAAAGGTTCAGGTAGAAGAGAGACCATTTATTTTGCTAGCGTTTTTCTCCTTGAAAATATTCATTTTTCCAAATATCTTAATATTCAGTAGAATAATCACGCTGGGTTGACTTTCCTGCTGCTGTTGAATTAATGACTGACTACTCTTACTTGATGAATGTTTGTTTTGGGGACTGAAGTTCTACTTGTTTGCATGCTCTGATTATTCATTAATTCTGCTGATCCGGAATGATGAGAGTATTGAAGTTTTGACAAAACTTTGAAAAGTATACTTTCCAGTATGATTTTTCACGGCTTCGGTGGCATAGAAATGGCCATTTAAAAATAATTTACCAAGGGTGATTATAGGGAGTATAGGATATCCTGTGTCTAAATATCACCGATTTAACTGGAAATATATTAGAATATAGGGACCCTGGTGGCTAAGACGTTGAGCTTGTTGAAAGGTTGGCAGTTCGAATCCCTAGCACCATGTAATGGAATGAGCTCCTGTTACTTGTCCCAGCTTCTGCCAGCCTAGCACATCGAAAGCATATAAAAATGCAAGTAGAAAAAATAGGAACCACCTTTGGTGGGAGGGTAACAGTGTTCTGTGCGCCTTTGGGCGTTGAGTCATGCCGGCCACATGACCACGGAGACGTCTTTGAATCACACTGGTTCTTCGGCTTTGAAACAGAGATGAGCACCGCCCCCTAGAGTTGGGAATGACTAGCACATATGTGCAAGGGGAACCTTTACCTTTACCTATATTAGAATATATTCACATCTTCAATCAATCAATCAATCAATCAATCAATCAATCAGAATAGAGCTGGAAGGGACCTTGGAGGTCTTCTAGTCCAACCACCTGCATAAGCAGGAGATTCTATACTATTTCAAACAAGTGGCTGCCCAGTCTCTTCTTTAAAA